GCAAGGGGGTCTTTCTCTTCAAAGTGTTGTCGCTTCATGGATTTTCAGGCTTGCTGGGTCTTAGCCCTGATGTCTTCCACGATGGCTTGTTGTGCCTGCTGCAATCCAAATTGGTGGTCCTTCCTTTCAAAGGAGCATCGGGCTCTCCATGCTAGCATGAGGAGGTGCAGCCTTGTGTAGGAAAAAAGGTTGGTTGCAAAGGGGAACCAGTGGGTCAGCAGCCGTCTCTGTTCTCCCAATAGTAGGAGCCCAAGATCCCAGGGTATATGGCGGCCAGTGAGGGAATGGAAGGCCGCGTCCCACCACTGCCATAGCTGGGTAACCATAGGACACGCCAACAGGCAGTGTTCAAGAGTTGCTCGGGCTGGCTGTCAGGATCCGCCACAATAGGCACAGATGGGTGACAACTTCCCTTGTTGTTCAAGGTCAATACGCGACACAAGCCAGTCGGGGGTGGGGAGGCAACGATGGAGGATCTGCCATTGCAGAGACCTATGATTCGTGGGCATGATTTTCTCATATCTGGACCAGGTAAATGATTCTGAAAGTTTGGGCTCCAGTGGCGACTCCCGTGCCCATCTGCCTGCTATTGTGTGGTTGATCTGCTGGTCCTGGCGAGACACCCTGTACCCCCCTTTGACTGTATAATCCCATGCATGCATGGGATGAGGTCCGGGCCATTCCCATTCAGACGGGTCAAATGGGAGCTTGGCCACTGGCATGGAGCTTTCGTATACATAGAAGCCATTCTCGAGGTCCCCCACCACTCTAACCTGCATGATTCCTCCCCACTCATATGTTGTGTCCATATCCTCCTTCCTTGTTATCTTTGAAAGTCTGGCTGTGGGCGACTGGAGTTCGTATGCTTCCAGTTCACAAGGCCCTTCATTATTTTCCCTGGCCTTCACCATGTAAATGGTCAAGGGGAGGGGCAGATCAGGAAATTTAACTACCCAGTCATTTTGCAAGACAGTGGGCCCTTCCTTGAGTGTGCGCTGCCAAGCGAGGGGGAGAGCCTCTCTTAACAGGCCAGCCTTGTCTGCTACGTTCTTTACATATTTGAGCCTCTCTTGC